AGACTGAGGCCAAAGCCGCCAAGCGAAACGTACGTGGTATACCTGCAACCTAGGCAGTGGTACTCATGCTTTCTTTAAATAGTTATGGCAAGACTACGATGAAGAAGCAGAAAAGGCCGCGGAGACTGAACCCGAACCAGAATCCGGTCCCATGAAGTCGAAATATCTCGACATCATTATCAGTGACGTCAAGACCGCCAACTTTGGCTTCTCTGTTCAAATTCTGAACACAGAAGGTATGTTCGCTATCCTCGCTATTCAAAACTGGGAATTCTCAATGCCTTAACAAACCTAGGCATTGCATCGCTAGAAAACCTCATGCGAGAATTCTCTTTACATCACAAAGGCGCAGTAACTGTACCTTCAGGCTTCACACCGAAAGGCGGAGAATTGGTGTCAGCCAAATTTTCCGATGGGGCATGGTACCGTGCTAAAATTCGACGAGCTTCACCTATCAAAAAAGAGGCCGAAGTTACCTTCATTGACTACGGCAACCAGGATACTGTCGCCTTCAAAGATATTAGACCACTCGCCCCTCAGTTCCGCTCCCTTCCTGGTCAAGTAAGTTAATGATCGACTTAAGCTTGTATTGCATTTTTCATAGACTTTATCTAGGCACACGACGCACGGCTGTCGTATATCAAGCTCGTCGGGCCTGAAAGCGAGTATGGTCCAGATGCTATTGACCGTTTCCGCCAACTTTGCGAAGGCCGTAAATTGGTAGCAAATATCGATGCTCGAGAAGGCCCTCTTCTCCACCTTCGCCTGATTGATCCTCAGGACCCATCATCCGCCAGTGACCCCTACGAATGTATTAACGCCGAGCTGCTTCGTGAAGGTCTGGCCACCATTGACCGGAAATGCAGTTATCTATCTGCTAATCCACAGCTACTTAAGAAGCTCAAAGACAGTGTTCTGGAGGCTAAAAAAGCTCGAGCAGGGCAGTTCGAGCTTGGAGATGTAGAAGAGGATGATTGATCTAGCCATTAAGCCATCTAATCAGGATATAAGAAGCTTGTTTGTATCACTAACCACAGTTGCCGGTCTAGTCCATTGATCAGTACACACTATCTACATTGGATATAATTTTCTGAACAAGTTCAACTATGTGATACCATCAGGTTTGATGCTAATTTGAACACCAAGGATAATGTCGACTGGAGCTAAAGGGAGAATGAGGTTCTTGTATCTGACGTACCTACGCTGATTCCTGAAGGTATCGCTATTTGTTTCCAAACCTTGTTCGAACGACTACTAGTATTCAAGACTGCTCTCGATCAAGCTAGGACACAAGGGTCCATTCTCCCGTACCTTCGTCGCAGATGATCAGAAAGATATGATCAAAATTGGATCAACACGACGGTTGCCCGCTGGCCTAGTTTGTCTACATCCGCAGACACTGTGAATTCAGAGACGATAATCACTTGGCATAGCAGTGCACTATAATAGTGCTGGTAAGCATACAGCCCGCTCAAATAACCCTTTGTTACCCCCTCCAGGCCAGGGAGCCATGGCTTACCTTTTTCCCCAGCTAGTGCTAGTCACAGTGTGCGCTGGTAAGCTCGAGCTGAAGTCTGAACTAGATCTTTTAACTGAACTCGCTTCAAGGCTACGTGCACTGTCAATCCAGTGTTACACTCAAAGTAAATGCCGGAAACAGTGCCATCGCCGATGATATCCCATTGCAACTAGTTGGTGTGGCAGATAATGGCGCAACAACTACCTACATCCAGAAGTTCGAAAACCCTACGGCCACTGAAACTTTCATCGTGTCTGGGTCCGGGTTCCAACTCCACAAGGGCTCGCGTCACACCATGTCTTGCAGTTCAGTAGGCTCGAAGGTACAGTGTCAGTTCGGTGAAACGTCTGATCCCTTCAACGTTGATTTTGGCTCCGGTTCCGATGTGGTACTTGCGGTCAAAGCAACCACCCAATCATCTCTCAGTCAAACAACAAGCAGGATAACAAATAATATTACACCTCTTGCACCCCCGCCTTCTGTCTTACCCATATCCTCTACAGCCCCTAAAACTACTGTGCCCACATTCTCTACGCTCGCTCAAGCTACTTTTCCCCCGCCCTTACCAACATCCTCCAGTATGCGCACTGGGAGTGCTTCCCAACACCCGTCCAAGGCATTGATTGGAGGCACGGTCGCAAGCGTCGTCCTACTTCTTCTTCTTCTCATCTGTTTATTGAGAAGGCGACTCCGGAGAAGGAAATCTGCTCCGTCTGAGAAGGCTCTCAAAACTCCCATTCCATTGTATGTATACTGGCCGGAAGTTCATAGCTCGACAAGCTTATTTTTTCCGTCATTCTAGCGATACCTCCATTGAGGGTGCTCCCGGTACTCAGCTCTCCACCTCAGGACAAGGCAAGTTTAATATCTATGGCTACAGATCGTAGTACTCTCTCATGCGACAACCTGCTATATTTAGGTATTGGCAAATCGAAACGATCAGAGATGCGAGCGCGAGAACGTGCTCCAATTGATGCACAAGGGGAATTCCGTGTTGCTCAGGGGGGGCCGAACAGAGGTGACAGCGCTCGTAGAGAGAGAACATTGAGTTTAGAGCAAAGAGTGGCCGAAATCCTTGAGCGTGTCCGGATAATGGAAGAGCGAGGAAATCTTCCACCTGACTACGAATCTCGGGAATGAGGTTTGTTTCTTTGTTTCAGAAAAATACTTTGTATGTTGCTTTTCTGTACTAGTACTTCGGATTAGAATTGTGCTCGGTGGTTAGTAAACTGAGTACAATCTCGTTAGCAACTGATACTGGCTGCAGCGAGCAAGCACAGCTTGAAACCTCTCTCCATTTCCCCTACATGACAGCTTGCATTGTTAGTCAGACATGTCGAGTGCTCTCCAATGGTGTCTACAGCTGCAACTAGTGGCAATCGGTCTTTAGAATCAAAGGACGATCAAATCGATAAACAGGTAAACGCAAACGCACTGATCGTGCGAATTACAAGTAACCAAGACTTCGGCGAGCCACCCACGAGAGTCGTCTGATTTGAATCCTTATGCCTCGGTACTTACACTAGCAACGAGACCACAGTCGTTGGTACAAACGTCGAACGTTTCAACAGTCTCAGTACACAATTTTAATTAGACGCGACTGACTATGCTGGTGTACCAACAGTGACCCGCTAGTACTAGACAAAAATTGGCAGAGCCTACCGCTACAACAAAACAATGTCACCAAGAAGTCAGACATGGATTTCGGGGAGCTGAGGTCACACCCATTTGGCCACTTATCAGTGAGGTACACAACAGAAAGACCATGGAAACGTGCAAGGAAGATAGAGTCGGTCAACAGCAAGCTGACAGGAAGGTATCACAGATGTCGGAAAAAGCGGCATTTCTTGCTCATGATATGTTGAAGATGTGATACCTGGAAATTTTCTGCCGCTGAACTGGTAGGTACTACTAGGACCTCATACGAGGCACTACCTCAGGATCCAGATAGCAGAATACATACGAGTCAGGCGTATAGCCGTACGAGAATGTAAATGGGATACGGGCCATGCAGGCACTATTGGTGATTCTGCCTATTCTCGTCACGGTGACGGCAAAACCGCAGTCACGGCCCAGGCGTCGTCCCCTCCCTCGTCGCTGCCTGTTCGAGTATCAATCGAGTATCAACAACTTTTTGTTCGAATCGAAATCCTATTATCTGCTCAGTGCATCATGGTTTGCTGAATTTAAAAACAGGACATTTTAAGACCCCTTTGCAGAACGAGGAGTTGGACTCGAGACTCAGATAGGTACCCACTCGTGGCTCCCGCCACGCTAGTAGAAGTCAGTGAATATTCAGCGAACTCAACATATGACACAAAACTGATAAGTGGATTCGGTACAAACAATGACAATGTAATCTTGCAGATCAAAGCATATTACTGCCAGCTACGGACACTGATGCACTCCTCCCACTGAAAAAAAAACATCCTGAGAAAGAAGGTCGAAAACCGCAAAGAGGGGCAGCGGGAATAGATGTCCGAAATCGAGTGTGAAAAGTCCAATTGGAAGCTAACAGTGTCTTGGTCAGCTTGAGATACTACTTAGGTGGAGACGAGGGAAACTCACAAAAAAAAATTATTGAAGGAATAAAAAGGACGCCGAAAAACAATACAAAAACCCAAAAGAAAGAGCTGGGAGATGGATAAAGGGGGGGGGGGGAGAGAGGGCCAACGATGACGAGTAGACCACCGCTTAATTCGAGCGCGATCCACGAGATTCCTGCTAGGAAATCACGCAGGAAGAGTTGGTGCCATCTCCATTCGAGTTCTCCTTGTCCACAGGCAAAGTTTCGGGTGCAGATGCATTGGACGAAGGGGCTGCGGAGGGCGTAGCGAATCCCGAGAGGGAGGTAGCGCTTGGTGCGTCTTCGAAAGCGATCATATTCGGAGAATCCATTGAGGTAGATGAGAGATGCTGGTACCAATCGATACTGGAGTGCAAGGGAAAGTAGCTATGCTTATTTAGCAATAACGGGGGGGAGGAGCTGGGCCCTCAAAATCCAAGCTTGCCCTCCTTTTATACCTGTCCCTGGCTTTCTAGCATTGACCACCGTGACAATGGCCACTCTTGTTCCGGATCTACGTAAGTTCTCTTGTTTCACGGTGCAGTATTGTTCATTTTCGTGGCCACTATCCATAAATAGCCCCGGGCCTTGTTAGATTATTGGTCAGTGTTTCAGATTTGAAAGCATAATAGCGGCGGCACTGCCCTATAAGACCAAGCTTTGACCATCATTCTATTTATTGTTCCAAATATTGTCAATCGGGTTTAAATTGATGCTACAGAACGCTTTGGCCTTCAAACAATTGCTTTATTAGGTAAGTACTATGAAAATGTTTTACGGATCTTGGTTCTTAGATCTTACATAATAGAGATGAAGAATTAACATAAGTAATGACATATTACAGTAAAAAAAAAAATAGATCAAAAATATGAGGAATTCAAAAAGAGTTTCTTTCCATTTCGCGAAGAGGATCCATGATTCGACCCGGGCTCGAACCGGGGACCTTCTGTGGAACACAAATGTTAGACAGATGCGATAACCAACTACGCCATCGAACCATACATATGCACAGGGGGTCTTACACTATTGGGGGTAGCGTAGGTAGGTTAAAACTCCAGGATGTTCCCTGTAAGACCTATGACTCCCGGACCTTAATCCAAGTTCCAACGACCAACCTTCTCAATCTCAACAGCCAACTGTTCATTTCTTAGACATCAACCACGATTTCTGCGAGTTCCGTTTGGTCATCCTGCATGTTGAACGAGCAAAAGATCAAAGAAAAAAGAAAGGAGGAACAAGTAAATCAGTACGTGCGAGTGTTTAAGCATTGAGCATTTTGTGAAGAGAAACAACACGCCTAATGTAGCTTAGTCCTGTCTGGAAACGATAACCATCTGGATTTTCACTTTCATCTGTCCAGTCTTCAACTGTTTATGGAGCCTGTCGGTTCCTGCAAGGACGAGGAATCGGGCCGCGCGAGCAGTAAGGAATCTGGGATTCAGGACAGGCCAATCAGCCTTTGGACAGAATGAGCGAGAAATTCTGGGTCCAGGCCAGGCATACACTCGCTCTCCCAATAAGGTGCCGTCGAACGTGACACGCTCCTCCACACATCATTGATACATTTGGCGATAAGCTTGACTCGGAGGGTGTGACAAGGGATGGGAGAGATATTCGAGCGGATGTTGCGTTTCGAATGGTTTTGGTAGTTACACTAGGCGGTGGTGAGAGAGATGCTTTGACGGAGGTTATTGCCACACGACAGCTCGATTAGCTGGGTATCCAATCGGTTTAGAGATCAAATATGAGTATCGTTGAGACGAAACTCACCTTGTCGTCTAGCATCTAAGCACTCCGCATCCACCTCTTGTCAAATCCGTGCTCTTTCTTTAACCATACAAGCAAAATTTAATCCTGAATATCCCGCTCCACGCTGAAGCGCCATAACGGTACCTCCAGTGAATCAACCGGAGGTGTAGTACAATCTAGATTCTGGTGTGGTAACGCAACAACTTGAAGCACATGCAAGTGAAGAAAAATTGTTCACTCAAGTGATATTGTGCGAAAGTTAGTTTTTTTTTGTTCTTGATTTGTTTCAGTTCAGATTAGATCGAGTCAGTCTTAATCATGACTTGTGTCAGAGCTGGAGAGACCACAGACTTGCGCACATTACTGGAGGACCGATGGTAATTTGGCGAGTCAAGCAATCATATATCATTAGCGGGATAAGTCATGGTGGTTGGTCGATGAAATACACGGGCTTCTCGGTCCGATATTCGTTCGAAGTTTATTGAAGCTCAAACATAGGTTCATCAACTTGCCCGCTACGTGTGTCTTCTATAGGTAGAAGTCAACTAAGCAACGTATCAAGTATATAGGTATGGAAAGCCAGAACGGTACGCTCTAAGATCAAAAGCGGCTGGCCAGCCGTTGATGGATTTATAATGCTATGTATGTAGGACCCCAGAGACTTCATATAGGATTATTTACGCAACGTAGAAGCTGTGCTAGTTTGTTTGTGCCACCGCAATCTTGCTTTTGCGGTGGTATAAACAAACCTTAGGCGCGCCAGTACTTACATACATACATATAAACAAAATAAATATATGGTAGGCATGGAGTCGCAGAGCGGCCAACTCGCGATATGCTTAAGTACTTCAAGTTGGCAGTGAAGGGTGGATATCAAAAAATAGATCTAGCTGGATGCGAGAGAAGAAAAGCTCAGAAAATTGCGTTTGTGTGTGTTGAACTGTATTTTCATGGTATTTGTATCCGGATTTCCATCAGTGTACAAGTCCCGGTATAGGGCCGTAAGTTGGTGCTGAGTTGGTGGCTATAAAGGCCACATGTAGTCAACTGTGAAGCGAGTGTACTGAGTGGGAGACAGTGAGATGTACTATAAGATAGCGGTAAGTATGCACAATGTAATGCTAGAGTGGACATGTGAAAGTCATAGTAGTGTATAGAGGATCTAAATAGAGCTCTATCGATCGAGCAAGCATCAGTGGTACCGGATTGAGAAAGTCAAAGCTGATTATATCTTGATGATCGGATCGTCGTATACACCGCAAATGATGAAGATAACACGTTACACTTGAGGAGAATGGACACGCACAATGGCTAAAAGCCTCTGAGAGCGTGAATAAGATGGGGAAAAAAGGATACATTTTGTTTTTGGGCTTCGACTTTATAAAATGAAGGAGAAACAAATAAGTAAGCTAATCTGTAAGCTAGTATCAGTACAAAGATCACAAGTAAATAGACGAATAAGCTTACCCTCAGTAGTACACGAGTGTACAACGACTGAGGGCAATAAAGGAAATTATCGAAATATAAATAAAGTATCGTTGCCGCCTGCCAAGGCGGCTTTTCAATGGGGCACGTAAGTAAAGATAAAGCGACGAAGGTGAAGGATTTGCCTATAAGATGAGAAATGGGAAAACAATCATGAACGGAGAATTACCTCCCCTTATACCGGCAACGGGCTCGAGAAGCGGGACTCCTAATAGTACCAGGGCCAGGCCTCAACACTTTGAATAACGCGAGATGGTCAGACCATCCTCAAAGAGGATGAAGAGGAGAACAGCGATTTGGATTTGAGGGATATGAATATTATCTGTGAAAATGAGCAGCTCATTGCTAAGGCTAGTGATCCACACAATCGGCCAGATGGTGCAGGGATAATTTTATCATACACTCGCAATCCACAAGTTCTTAAGCCATCGACGCATCCCTCCTTCCCCCATTCAACCTCGGTCCAATAGCCTGTTCAAGCAATACATTTATTATATTTTCTACCTGTTCAATATTCCGACGACCCTCGGGCCTCTCTAGATCCCACCGCCGCCTAACCCCAGTTTGCTCAAGCAAGGCTTCTTGTCGCACACCTCCTGCACATTCCAACACCCTCTCTGATGCCCTCTGGACAAGCTCCTTCACATTCACCGCTTAAATATGCTGCAAGCCGTCAAATGAAGCTAAACATGCCTCCGCTACTGTCCTCCATCACACTCCCCTCAGAAATGGAATCCTCCGCTGCTTCCTGTACCGAATTCAACCACATCCTATGCATCTCCCTTGCATACTCACCCATTCCTCCCCTGGACCTTTACATCCCTCGGCAAAATCGCCTCCAATAGTAGCAAACGCCCAGCATTTGGTGTCCCAAAGCATAACATAGGCTCATCCCGTGTCATGCCCTTGGCCACCAATTCCGTAGTGACCCCACGCCCACAGCCAATCCAACTCGATGTAATCATTCTCATTTGTCTTATCTCCACCTTGTTACTCATCACCTCTCCCAGAGGAAGTTTGCATTATGCGCTCTGGTTCACCTCGCCATCATCCACCATTGTCGTGCGTATATAACATCACCACCGTCTCGACTCGATTGGGTGGTAGATTCAGCTACATGCCGGCGCTAGTGTCATTGTCACCTCCATACAGTATTACCATGACGTTACCTTCCTCTCGGTTGGGCGGTTGCATCAGCTACACGCCCGCTAGTGCCATCGTCACCTCCATATAACATCGCAACCTTACCCTCTCGATTCGTACAACACCACAACCTTATCATCTCCTTGATTGGGCGGAGGCGTCAAGACTCAAGAGTCACTAGTCAAGGCTGAATTGGATTCATGAGGACCAACCTCGTGTCGGTACTGTACAATAATAATCATAAGTGTTTTCGGGGTCTTATTACTAAAAGGAGGTTGTATCCACCGGCATGAGTGCCAGATGATCCTATCAGCGTGAGCTTTAGAGCGTACCGTTCCGGCTTCCCATATATAGGGCAAAAACATGTAGAATAGAAACCAGCATCCAGCAACCAACTGTACAGTATTTGTAAGCAAACGTACGAATCTAGATATGTCAAAGCTAGATCTATTGTCCCTTATCGGGCTCTTGCACATACGCGCGGAGTAGTTCAAAAATTTCTTTTGAAATATAGACCCCCTATCCTCCGGAGGCTGCGGAGGCTGTGGAATGGCTGTTGTCACTAATGGCTAATGGTCAGTCAGCTCAGCTGAGTGCACTACTTATGTTACCCTGCTTACCATTGTGCAGACGGGTCTCTGGGATCGTAAATCAGCTCAGCGGCTATAAAATCACTGGGTTCGGACTGATTACCCTCTTGAATATTCTTCCTTAACTCCCTCTGTGGGTCCGACTTCCATTCCTCAACCGCCGGCTGGATCACTTCCTTCCATTCCTTCAGCCAGGAGTCTCTAGTCTTCGCAAACTGACTATTGGACTCGACTGCTTGCAGCGTGTCAGACGACAAGATTTCTGAATGATCCCATTGATGTCTTTTCCACCCCTGTTGTCCATCTGGGTCGGTGCGCAGCTCGAAGATTGAACCAAAGATGCTAGCACCCGTAGACTGGATCCACCCAAAACATGGTTGCTTGCTACAAGCGGTTGCTCCCTGGAGCACAAAACGAACCATCTTTCGATTGGGGACACTGGTTTGACCTTCCTCCATTCCATCAGTCGCTGTTTCCGTGTTGTAATCGATCTTGTACTTTGTCAGTTTGAACGTTATTTGGGTATTTACGTGTAGGTATGCGAAAGGTGCTATAAAACAACCTAACAAAAACACTACCGCACCTAACCAGACTATCGATATGTAAGGGAGCGAGGGCGGGTTGTCAGAGATTCCCCGAGGGAAAGCTTTGTAATATCGGATGTACGCGCGCGACTGCTCCAGGTTCAAGACTGTAGCGCTAACGTGGGTAACTAAGCTTAGACAACTCTTAGAACTAAGTCGAGAGAAGCCTAGTTGAGGTGTACGAGTGTACGAGGGAACCGGGTATGTATGTCCAAATCAATTAACCCAAACCAAACCAATACAACGAAACTAAGATTCTCCTAGGCAAACTCTGGCTCTAGCTAGAATAGTAATCTCGAGGTTTGTCAACAACCCTAGGCAAACTCTGGCACTAGCTGCTGTGACGCCGTAAAGTCCTCGACCAAACTCTGGGCCAAGCTACGATATTGTGAGTGAACTTAATCACTAGGAACTCGTACCACAATCTTAGTGGCTCGTCTAACTTCG